AGTCAGATAACAGCCTTTAGCCTTCAGTCATCAGAGCTTCTCTCTCAGCTATTGTCTGGGTTCATTCGTAATATCTGGGTTAGGGATTTGTGTACATGTGCGTGTGAGCAGGAGTGTGTGTGTGTGCATACAGTAAAGGTGTGTGTCTACATCTCCACAGTGATATAACAGAGAGCAGGTCATCCCAGCAGCCATCACATCTCATTTACCCACCCTCCTCCTCCTCCTCCTCCTCGTTCTCCTCTCTTTCTCACCCCCTCTTTGTTTATCACTCTCTCTCTCTCAGACCCAAAACACACCTGCAGAAGCTCACTCACCTTGGTCCGAGTGAGACGGCAACCCATTCTGCCTTTGCCCTCGGACAGGTCAGAGTTAGGAGGAGCAGAGAGCAGAAAATGGTGGGAAAATGGTGAGTATGACAGGAAAAGAAAAGGAATAAGATGCAGAGATCAGATGAAAGAAACTGCAGAGGAGAGGAAGGAAAAGGGCAGAAGAGGGTTCAAAAGCATGAGAACGAAAGACAGCGAGAGAATAGAAAGAAAGAGAGAGAGAGAGTTTGTTGAGCCTCGTCCGCCCACCAGCTCACATCTCCAAACTCTGAAAACCCACAATCCCTGGCTAATCAGCTGTCCTCCTGTGCTGCTGAGGAAACTACAGCTCCCATGATGCTGCGGTGTAAACAGCAGCAGCAGCAGCAGTCGGTGGGAAGCAGGTCCATCGCATTAAACCCCTCTCTCCTCAGGAATGAGAAATAATCATGGGCGAGCAAACTGCAGCAGGAGCAGCACAAAGCGGGACGAGCGAGACAGAGGAGAATGAATGAAAGAGAGAGAGAGCGGTACATGTAAAGAACAGAGCTGTCTTCATCTGACTGCTTCTTCTCTCTCTCTCTCTCTGCAGCTCGGCTCCTGCTGGCCAATCACAGTGGCTGGATGCAGGAGGAGGGAAACATTTGCTCTGATTGGTCAAAGGAAGTGTCAGCTGAAGCATCCATTCAACGTTTTTCTCTCCCCTCTGCTCCTCGCTCTTTCTCTCGTTCTCTGTATTTTGCTGGTCTGTCCTTGTTTCACTCCCTCTTCTTCACACGGTGCTTTTTCTCTCATCCCCATCTGTCTCAGAAAGCCCACAGCATCGACTGTGTGTGTGTGTGTGTGTGTGTGTGTGTGTGTGTGTGTGTGTGTGTGTGTGTGTGTGTGTGTGTGTGTGTGTGTGTGTGTGACTCCACCAGACCCTTTTTAGCCTTCATAACTCACATGTTCAAAAATGAAAGTGCACTTTGATGTCCTGTAATATGGACGTTATTTAGCATGAAAGTACATTTTGCACAGCTTCGTTTCGAATGTTAAAGTTGCTGTTAAAATAAAAGCTGGACAGAAAACACAGTCCAATCCCGTTTGAACGTTACACCTTAATCTAAAAAATAATATAAATAGATATATATTTATAAATAACCCAACATAATGGAGATCCTGGTACTCTGATCCCATGCTGCTATATTTGGCGATAGAAACATGGAATTTCTCTCCAAGTCCAAGTTCAACATTTTAGTTTATTTTTTTGTTTGTAAGTTATATTATAATTATTACCTAGTTTCAGATTTCCTGCGCTCCTGTCTTTCCTCTATTTGTCTCTTAAGTCTGTATTTCTTTGTTAGACCTGCTGTTACTTCCTGTTTTACTTTGTTACCCTCTCGTCTCGTCTCGTGTAACAAGACTGTTTAGTTTTGCTTGTATTTTCTGCTGTGTGTGATTTCCCCGCCTGTTTTCCCTTCCCTGATCATTTCAGTGTATTAACAGCCTCAGTTTGTGGTAGTTTTCCTCTTACTTTATGCACATTGTTTCCTGCCTGTTGTTGGATTTCAGTTTTATTAACTTTGTCTCCCAAATCTGGATTTTGGATCTGATTTTTCCCGCTACATCTGACTGAAGGATCCTGAGCCAGTGTGTGGTTGAAAGATTTTACCTACACATGATCAGAGTCTCCTACATGCACAGCTCGGGTTCTGGAACCAACTAATGACTGAGAGGTAAACAATACACGATACAATAAACACAAGTGACCAAGGAAAGACAACTTTTAACAGGTTTTACAATATCAAAAGTGCAAAAGCTCCAGACACAGACATCACAGCAAACAGGACCAGACTGCTTATACACTGAGAGGCTGACTAAAAGCGAGACACAGGTGAATACAATCAATTAAGCAAAAAGGAAGAAATAAAACTTATGTGAGGCATAAAAGGAAACTAACTTTCAAAATAAAACAGGAAATACACAAGTGAACTAATACGGACGTAAATGCTAACATGTAGAAAACAGGAGAACTGAGATATTAACACAAACATGAGAGTGAGTGAGGAACAGCCTCAGAAACAGATGAAACTAAAAACTAACAGACATAAAACAAAACACAGGAACTAAAATTCATCAAAACCATTAAAGGAAAAGAGCAAAGTCTCAGTGGCAGAGGCAACAGCTGAACAGACCTCAGGACCAGGCTGAGCACCAGACGCAGGTGCTGGTTGGGGTCACCGTGCCACCGCCCCCTCCTCTGCTGGCAGTGACGACGCACCGGATGGGGAGGGCGACAACCCACAGTTATTCCTGGAGACCACCCAAGCCATTTCAGAGCGTGGCAGTGTCCCACGGCAGAATGGGCGCCATGGCTGCTGCTGCTGCTCTCTGGGAATGCTCAGACAGCAACTCTGAGCTTGCCGCCAGCCTCGCCGGGGACCTTTGGAGACATCTGATGGGACATTTTGGATCGCTTGGGCCTTTCCCAGGAAAACCGCTGCTGGCAGTTCTGGGGTTGTTGGATGACAGCAGAGGACCAGACACTGTTTGTGGAAGGGTGTCCCAGAAAAATGGCAGATCCTGGGCCAGTAAAAAATGAGATTCAGTACATCCTGGACCTTAGACAAAGCTGCACACGTTGGGAAGGTTGTCACTGAAAAATGTGCTCCAGGCCCAGAAATGTCAGCAGGGCCTCTGCAACAGAGTGGCAAATTTCACCAGGAGATAAAGTACTTGTATTACTGCCTTCTTCAAGCTCAAAGTTAGTCACCAAGTGGCAAAGACCCTTTGTGGTCACATGGTGAGTGGGCAACATACAGACAGGGGTGGAGCCACACAGATATATCACCTTCATCTCCTGAAAGCATGGAGAGAGGCCAAAACCACTTCTCTGGTCTAGTGTCCTGGTGAAGGAGAGAGATGAGTTGGGGCCACAGATGCCAAGGTTACCTGAGCATGAAAGGCAAATCTTCCAGAGAGAACTGGCTGAAATGCTGAAAATAGTTCTTATAGTTCTTGTAGTGAAGAAAGGTAGGTCTATATGCTTCTGTGTCAACTACTACAAGGTAGATTCCCTTGTCTGCAAATTCCAAGGAAAAAACAGTGTGAGGTTTGGACCTGTTTGTCAAACTTTCGTTTGGCTTGTTCCCAGCGCCTCATGGACCATGTGCTCTGTGCCCACGCTGCAAAGCTTCTTAACTGAAACACAGGGCTGGGTGCCGTTTGGTCCCAGCAGGTACGGGGGATCGCCACCTGATCCTGCACACCAGCTGGAAACTGACACGGCAGGAGAGGAAATACAGCACAGTGGAGAAAGAGTGCCTGGCAATCCGGCCGACGGTGGACTGTCGTCGTTCGTTCCTCTCACACCCAGACTGATGTGACTGTGTCAGAGCAGGACTGAGGTCTAGTACAGCTGCATCAGCAACTATGATCGGATCAGCTCATTACAGCGTTCGTTATAGAAATATACGGGAGTTCAAGGTTCAAGGTTCTGTATTCGTTTTATTATTATTATTATTTCATATAAAATCTTAATGTTCTTTTTTATATTCACAGAAACAGAAGTGCAGGCTTCTTTCACCAACGCCTCAAAAACATGTTGCTCAAAGTCCTGCTTATTCTTTATTTAGCAGTGACCGTTTCATTTTAAATATGAAAGTAGAGTTTACACAAATTAGAGAACTAAAGAATAATCTTTTTTAAAAGGACAAAGCAGAAAGAAATGTTTCATAACCAAAATTGGTAAAGCTTGTCTTATACAGATGGTTTCCTTTCCTTGTTTCCTTCTTCATCCTTGTGGAAGACTTCTCCTTCTGGCTGCTTCCTCCAGCTCAGTGCGAGATCTCCAGCGACTCCCTGGTCCTTCAGCGTCTGTTTGAGCTGGGACACAAAAATGTGATTTGCAGAATATGACATAGACAAAATTATTCACTAATATTTGCTATTCACTCTTTTTTGCTGCTGCATAAGTTTGTTGTTATTAGGTATATGAAAGTTAAAGCAGCTTAAGGTTTGTTTCACAATAACGCTGGAGGTGACCAGTTACCTGTTTCAGCATGGCATCCATCGCATCATCGTCATTCAGATCCAGACTGTTTTTCTCCAGCCTCAATCTCACCACTTGCTTGTAGGTAGGCGCTGATTAAAGAACGAGGGACACTCAGGGTTAGAAAACAAAGGATGGACAGCTTACGTCACCTGCTTTTCCTGCTGCCCTGAGTTTAGTTCAGGGTGTCAAACTCATTTCACATGGCGGGCCACGTACAGCCTCCTTTCAGATAAACTCTCCTTTCTGTCAGTGACAAAGAAAGAAATCGCTCATCGTTTTTCTGATGCTCCAGATGTTGATCTTGCCTCTTTGACTTCCCATTTAAAGAGTTCGATCACAAATCTCAGAGTAAAAGTTGATTCTGCACTTTGACGGTCACGTAAACGAGGTGGTGAAACAGCACCTCAGACGCTTATCGGAGGTTAAGCCCTTTATTTATTATTCACGCCTTTATTACTTCACAGATCATTGCATTTCTCTTTCAATGGGGGTTGGGTAGGACACTTTGTCACGCTTGCAACTAGTGCAAAATGCACGATTTTTAACTGGCAGAAGGAAATTCGACCACATGGCTCTGGTTTTGGCCTCTCTACATTGGCTTCCAATTGAATTAAGGATCCGTTTTAAAGTCCTTTTATTGATTTTTAAATCTCTAAACGGTCTGGCACCTGTTTGTTTGTCTGATTTGTTGAGGCCTCATGTCCCTATTGGCTCGCTTCGGTCAGCTGAGCAACTGCTGCTTTCGGTCCCAAAGTCACGGCTACAACTTGGAGGAGGCCGAGCGTTCTCTGTTGCGGCTCCAATGCTTTGGAATAGCCTTCCTCTCCATATCAGACAGGCTCCATCAGTGCCAGGTTTTAAGTCCAGATTAAAAAACTATTTTTATTCGCTGGCTTTTAACTCTGTGGGTGACTTTTAAATTCATTTTATTGCTGTGTCTGGTTTTTGCTATTTTATTACTATATTTGTATTTGTATTGTAAAGCACAAGTGCCAATGATGATGATGATCCAGCTGTTTTCACGGTTGTTGCAGTCATGTTGGCAGACAACGGCCGACAGGATATCAAACAGGTTTGATTTTCTATGACTAAATGACTGATGATCAGGAGCTGGTCGTGAGGTCTTAATCGTTACCCCACGTATACAACACGATGCACGACACACGATTAAGGCGAAACTCGGGCCGATCCCCAAAAAGCTCAAAATGGACCAAAAGCCACACAGTGGATGCCCAGCTAAAGTTTCACAAAGTAATTTACATGGAAGCTTTCTGTGGTTTCCAGTAGCACATTTAAAAAAGACACGTGGACAATCTGATAAGAACATATTGAAATGAGTAGTAGCACTTTAGAGGATTCATACACATCACACGGTGTTTGAGAGTACGTGATAAGGGAGCATTTGCATGGATTCAAAACCTTGTAAAGCAGGAAATGCAAAGCAGCTTCTTCCCAGCTTTTTCACCAGGTGAGTGGAGTGTCAGGGTGACTTTCCCCTGCCTGTATTGAATACTGCTGTTTTAATAGTTTG